CTTGCCCTTGTTAAATTGCATTCAATTTTCCCCTGCCCAAATCTCCTGTTTTGTAAAAACCTTGATGAAACTAAAATTAACTTCTGTGCGTTTTTAACTTCTCAGGCCAAAGTAGCAATGATTTGGGGTGTTTTGACAAGAGAGAACAAAACAGGGAGAAATCTCGAACAACCTGTTCTGAATCAGAACTGTCAAATTATTTCTTACTGTGCTGTACCTTTTGGGTGGTTAGATGTGAACTTGACAATTAGTAATATTCCAAGACATCCACTGTTTTCTTCCTGGTATTTTATCAGAAGTCACGTATAGTAAAATTCGCCCATTTTCACGAGCAGTTCTGCTAGCTCTGCTTGTATGAGGAGAAAGAGTTTGGCTTGCTCCATACAATCTGTTGAAGTGGTGGCTGAAGTTTACTTCAACAAGTCTGATAGATACTGAAAATACTTTTATTTCTTCAGGAAATTAGGCATGATAGAGGATGTCACAGACCTATTTATACTTGTTTGTATTTCATTAAGGGGGCTTTTGCAGGATATTCCTGCAAGCTTCTCTGAAAATGTATTTCCTAATGTCTCAGTGGTCTTATGGTTTTGTTTCTTTTGTTTATTTGTTTGGGTTCTTTTGGCCTCTTACAGTTTAAGTTCTTCATGCACCGTTCTTTCAATCCCTATGTAAAACAGGCGTTGAAGGCCTTCCTGACAGGGTAGTTTTGAAACTGAAGCATACAAACCTGATTTGAGGCCTCCAACTGAAAGTACTTCGGAACTGCAACCAGCAATCGTCTGTTTTTACACACCAGTTTAGGATTGTGGCTTCTTCAGTGTGTAATTCCAAACTGAGAGTCATGTCCGTGCGCTGCTTCTTTCCTTACAGGGAAGTAATGCAGATATTTAGTGTCACTAACACCTCCTGTCGGATACGATACGCTGTGAAAATGGAACTTGAAGTCTGTTGTAATTATTTAATGTGCTGTTTTATGCTGCCTTGACAGAATCTAAAATATATCCTCTCTAGATTCCAAACCAAGAAGAGGAGACCAAAATTCTCCTGGGCCTGCCTCCTGACAGAATCGGACATGGAACATTTCTCAACTCTGCAACAGCAGGTTCGGAAGAGTTAGTGCCCCTTGTTCGACAGAATCATATACCCATTGGTAAGGAAAAAGTTAAGAAAATTACTTGGGGATCTCTAGATTTCAGAATATCGTACGTACTGCTGATCTAGTAACTCCGATTTGTCTTTGACCAGAGGTGGCTTAGAAAAACGTGGCAGTGTGTGTGAGAGAATAGCCTGTAAAGGTACACTGGTAACACTCTCATGGTTTTGACATATTTGTGGCAGGGACACCAACTGTTTTCTCAGACAAAAACGAAACTAAATCATAACTTTTACTTATTGGGCAAGGCTGTGTGGTGTTTCTGTGGTTTGCAAGCTCCCTAAATTTTATACCCAGCCAGTAGCTAAGAAGAAATTGATGACCCAGTTTTCCTCAGAATATATTACCAAATATTTGAAGCATAGAAAATCAAGGAAACAATAGCTGATTCTGTTTTTCATTCAGGAACAGAAATAAGTCAATTAATGTGTCAAAAACATAACGTCTTTTGTTTTGATGTATGTCCTTGTTTCTTCTGGTTTTTTTTCCCTTAGAATTTTGCATGACATCAAACATCAAAACTCAGACAGTGCCTTCCTGTGACAAACACCATTTTGGATACTGGTACAGCATGGGCCACCCTGCAGTGCTGTGTGTAAGTTTTTTTTATTTTAACCCTGTATTTAGGTAAAGAGCAAAACTAGTGTGGAACTGGAGAATTTTATCTCCTTTTATGTATCAGAGCTGACTTACTAACAACTTGCAGCAAATAATCTCCTTATAGGAAATCGTAATGTTCTGTTTGAGAAATGCTTGTACTACGAATGGGAGTGTTTGTCTTGGTTTTATTGTAAAGCAAGATCTTTTTTTTCTGTATAGATAAGGTGATCAGCTCTGCATCCAATGAACTTCTTAACTGTTTGCATACCAACAGATTTCTCTTAAACATATTGGTCCAATGCTTGCTTTTAAGCTTGCACTTACCTCATTCACCACATTGGATGGGAGTTCTTGAGTTCTCTTGAGAGCTAATTAAGGTCCTTAAATGCTGAGGTGCCAAGTACTTTTGCTGGCATTGGCAGGATTTTACTATCATCCTGTTGGTTTAACCCCAGTAATTCTCAGCACTGTCCAAGTGTGTGTATATATGTTAGAGTGCTGTGCTCATTATTCAAATAAGCCTCAATCCTTTATTGTATAAAGTATTCATTATTGAGGTTGAACTCTGTTGTATTAGGTGAACAATAATTCCTGATTAGAGATGATTTCTGAGCTGTTCCATTGTGAAAAGTGTGGATAACCAGTGAAGTCCCATGAGACAGCAGTTCACCCATAAAGGCGGATGAAGAGAGCAGTAGGAGATGCTGCAGTGCCTTAGGTTTAACAGGGTATAGTTAACATCCTTCTCTGTCGGGGCATGAGGACTCTGAGTCACAGATGGGTAATCTCATTGACCCTGAAATCATCCTGAATTGCTCCTTTTAGATGAATAATCTTTACATGGCTTTCAGTCATGTAGTGCTAGCCCAGTACTTCAGTCAGTATCAAGCAATTGTTAGAGTTGACACAAAGTGCGGAGGGCGAGACAGTTTCTTCCCTGAAGGAAGGGACTGTAGGAATCCAGAGTATGCTCTGTTTCCCAGGTCTGAGGAAAGGGAAAAGAGGAATAAAGAGACATGCACATACTCACATAACTTGCATGTATGCAATTTATTGATTTTCTTGATAAATTATGCCATCACTTTAAGAAGTTTTCTTGTATGTTTGAATAATTTATTAATTTTGAATGAAAATAGGGCAAATAAAGCATGAAATAATTACCAACAGATGAAAGAACCAGGGAATAAAATGTGAAACAGCAAGATAAAACTGGTTTGTAATGTGTAGAAAACCCCCTTTTTGAGGTAGAGGAACTAATTTAAACTTTTTTTTTCTTTTTTTTTTTTTTTTTTTTCCAATGTAACTCCAGACTGATGATAAAGGTGTCTTTGCAACAGATCTATCACAAGAATATGAGCTGGTTGCAAAAACATTTAATCTGACTCGATCACAGATGTGGGATCTTTCCTATGAATCAATCAACTATATCTTTGCTCCAAGTGTAGTGAAATCAAAGCTAAGGGAACAGTGGTGTAAACTGAAGCCAACTCTGTTTGATTAATCAGACTGTTGCTCTAAACAGCTTGAGTGTGTTAGCTTAGTTAATAAGTACTTTTTATTGAAGTCCCTGGCTTTTTTCAGGCTTTAGGTTTATAAATCCAGCCCATAAACTGTGCCTTTGCAAAACGAAGATGACAGGAATGCATCCTTGGTTAGTGGGGACAGAACTTAAATGTTCTTTCATAGTTGGGAAGGGCTCTCAACCAGTGACTAAAATTCCGAATGTGTCATCACATCGTTTCTCTCCAGTTGATATTACATTTAAAAAAAATACTTAGCTGAAACACGTCATCATACTCCAAACCCTTGAGAACAAAATAAAGGCACAGCTGTTAGGGTTTGAAATGCCTCTGCTGGCAACACTATGCCAAGCAGTTCGTATGTACGGTGTGTATATTTGGGTTTTGTATTGTTTTTAAATAGATGTTTTGAGCAATTGATTGAATGTGAACACAGAAACAAGCTCAGGGAGAATGAAATGTTTGTCTCAAAGGAATTAAACATCTCATCAGTTTTTACTGGCACACATGTGTGACTGCAGCTTGCTGCGGATTGTGTAGCATATGTGGTGGTGCCTGTTGATGCACTCAGCACTGGGAGTATTTAGACAGAGTGAAGAATCTTGAATACCTGAGCAAATTGTGAGCTACTTGGTCTAATTCTTAAAATGCTTTTTAGAATTGCTGTTTGTTTCTTGTAAAAAAGCAATAAAAATAGCTTGAGCCTCCATGTTTTCGAAACCACTACTTCATGTGTGTGTGTGTGAGATGTACAGAAGAGATGGGCATATGACCTGGTGCAGGATTCGGCGAGTCCCTGCAGCGGCGTTGGTGTCTGTGGGCGGCACCACTTCTGCGCTGACAGCAGAGCATGCTCCTGGCTCGGACAGTGACAGGGTTCACTCCGCCTGTCTCCAGCAAAATCTGGCAAAATACATATGACGTACACATGCAGCAGTTTCTAATAACAGATACTGCTAGCGTAGGAAGTATCCAGAGAGCAGGCATTTCATACCTGGAATATTTTTACATTGATAAATTAAACAAGCAAACAATCTGGGCTCCACAAGGAATATCGAATATAAATGCAATGATACAAAAGCTGTTAATGACTTCTATTTTGGTCTTTTTCAATAAAATCAGCATAAAGTAGTTGTTCTGGCTTTAAAGTAGCAATAAGAAACAAATGAAATAATAAAAAAAAAAAGGAAAATAAAAAGAATAGGTTGGGGGCTTGCAGGTAGCAAAGAAGTTGATATGTCTGTGTGGCTACCTGAGGTTTCCACAAAATGTTTTCCAAGCAGAAAATATTCCTTTTGGAGATGGAGGAAAATTACGTGAAGCAGAACTGTGGTTTTATATGTTCTTACCTGAACTCAGAATAAGACCTCACGCTTTTTATTTATAAACAGTACTTTGAACTACTTTCCAGATAGTTTGACTGATTACATTATCACTTGCTCTTTGTCTATTTTCTTTCTACAAAAGTAATTACCATGGTAAATATATTCCTTTTCCTTTTTTATTGAAAAGCTGTCTAAAGACAGGCTCAGCAGCTTTCTGACATGTTATAGTTATGTGTATCTTATCTCAGGATAAGTGGGCCTACACTCAAGTGAGATGGCATTCTTTTGCAAAATAAGCTTTATAGCCTTCTAATAACTCTTCAGTAACATAGTATTATTTATTTACTTACTGTTTATTTACTAAGGGGTCATTCTCAGTGTTTGTTTTATCTGTCAAGTGTAAAACTTTCTAAAGCAAAATAAGACTCATAAATAGTGTCTGATGAGATTTTTAGTTTCAAACTGTTGGATGTTATACAGAAGTAAGTTTGATTTTTAAGGTTTCTATGTTGAATGTGACATGGAGATGTGTTCATTCAGAGAGCATAGCCCTGGTAAATGCTGCTAATTGCAACTTCCTTTTTTTTTTCCTGCAAGCATACAGCATCTTAGAGATTTTTAACGTTATGGACTGTTACATATAGTTCTCAATATTTCCATTTAATTTACATGTCTGTCTTAAAAATACTGCTTTCATCAGTTGTAGCACTGCCCCCAAACAGTTTGGTACATGATGACATGCGGATGCTCCATAGTTTTATAATTGGAAAAAAACCACTTCCCTGATTATTAATGAAACAAGTGTTGTGGATACATAGTGAATCAGCGCTGAGTTATGGAATCACTCTTCTAAAGGCTGTGTACTTACCCTGTCACATAGACGCTTGCAGATGCGCTGCTGATTTAAAAAAAAAACCCCACTTTGTTTTTAACAGTATTTATAGTGTCTTGGCTAGCAATAGAAGTCAGGAGGTAAGTTGGAAGATTCCATTTGTGTGAAGTAAAAGAACCAGGAATATATTTGGGTGGCTAAAGAATGATACACAGAACCAGGGGATTTCTGTATATTGGTTTCTAACTGTATGTGATTGCAGTTATTTACACTGCAGAAGTGTTATGCTTAGAGTGGAAATTGAAGTTGGAAAGGGTGTGGAGAATAAATAATAAAGAATCATCACCTGATTAGAACTTTGTCATGTACAGTTCTCAAGTTCATAGGCTCAGAGAATGGTTTGGGTGGGAAGGGACATTAAAGATCATCCAGTTCCAACCCCCTGCCATGGGCAGGGACACCTCCCACTAGCCCAGGTTGCCCAAAGCCTCATCCAGCCTGGCCTTGAACCCCTCCAGGGATGGGGCATCCACAGCTGCTCTGGGCAACCTGGGCCACTGCCTCACCCCCCGCACAGGAAATAGTTGTCCATGAGAAGCAGAAACCTTACCTTCTTACTACCGCATGGCTATTTTTCAGGAGTATGACTTCTATAAGTAAAACTGCAGAGGTTCCTTCTTTGGCTTCAGGTAGGATTATAGATAATTTAAGTGCTTTTTGCTGAGTCTGCTTGTTTAATTCAGAGTTAACAGTCACATAACCAGTGTTTAGTTTATAATATTGTATAAAAATGACTGTGACATACGGTTGGAGTGAAGCATCACCACTGAAGTAACCATCAGTAATGGTGCAGAGGCCCCTTTCCCTCCCCGAATGCAGTGGAAATTTTGAGTAAATATTTCTAGAATTTCATATGGTGTAAGATGAGGTCTAAGTGTCTATTCAGGTGCAGCTCAACTTATTTTTCAAGTAAACAAAATAGATCTAGACCAAGTTAGTATTTTCATTTATTTCCATCTGATTATAGGAGATAACACTTAGAGAACAGTCTCCAATGCTCAGACTCTTCATTCACATCACATGAAAATATATACTTTGGTCCTACTAAACAACAGTGTCTTTGGAGATGTATGCAAGCAGAAGGCCCCTGCTCCCTGCAGCATACGTTTCTCAAGAGTTTCTTTTGAGACAAACACAGAAAGTCTTCAAAACCTCTACTCCTTAGGATTAGACTGGTCACATACCACAGCTTATCATAATACAACTGCTAAACTGTAAGTTTACTCTTCAGGATCGTAGCTTTGGAAATACATAAATGATTTCTATGCCTGTTTCAATATTTAGGCATTTCAAACTAATACATTGAAAAAAAATAATGCAGGTAAGGGCATTGCATTAGATAAGTGCATAAGATGACGAAGAGACTGGTGCCTCTCATACAAGAGGCGCAGACCGCTGGGGCTGTTGAGACTGGAGAACAGAAGGCTCAGGGGGCAGATCTCATCCATGTTTTTAAATATCTGATGGGAAGCAGTAAGGATGGAGCTAGGCTTTTCTGAGCCATACCCTGTAACAGG